TTTTAAAATTTTTGTTCTAGAATTTTGCAGGACTCTCCATCCCCACGGTATCAATGCAGGCTTTCCATTCAACTGCAGTCAACCCTGTATTAAGTGGCAATGTATTAAGCTGTCGGTTTTCTAAGTCCCAAAATTTATACCCTTTAACCCTTTAACTCCTGTGAATGACCAAGACAGAATTTCTCCTTACTATATCTATACAATATCATGTAGACATATGATGAGAATTAAGAAAAATATCAATTATGGGATTACTAATTGATCTGATACCAAATTCTCCAAACTAACATGATGAGAATTGTTTGGCAGACAGTAAGGAGAATTACTGTTGAGATCTTGGGAGTTAATGGGTTAATTCCTGTAATTTTTATTTTATTAAGCGGTCACCTCTATGTAGCAATTTTTGGTCAACCTTCACTGAGTCCCAACGGTCTGTTTGTATTGCCCTCTACCTGTAATGAATGGTTACCTAAAGTGGAACCACTCAAATCAAACTAAGAATGATCTTTAAAGTAAAATTATGTTTATATGCCGAAATCAATGTAATTAGTATTTTTGAGCAAGTTGTGGTGCAGTTATGACATAAAATGCCGATTTTTATCGTCTTTTACAATACCCCTTTTCTATGAAACCGGTATTAAGAGCGAATTTTTTTAATCACCGCGTGGGAGGTGGCACATGATCGGAAAAATCACTATCCTCATATTTCGCTCAGAGATACCTTTGGGTAAGCCTATAAACGTGGTATAATTTTTTTGTTCAGAGCTGTTTTTATTTTCTAGAAAATCACCAAACACTTATCGAGCCCCAACCGCCATAAAATGGCCGAAATTAAGTCGACGTGTAGGGCAACAAAACCTTTATTCCTCAAAAGCGCAAAAGAAAGCAAGTCTTTCTGAATTTTACCTATTTGTATACGAGGTATTAAAAAATGATTTGAATCTAATAACGGGCTTGTTGACATAACTATGAATTATTGGCGAATATTTGAAAATAGCCAAAATTTGATTGATTAAAAATTACATTTTGGAGCAGTTTTTCAATAAAAATTTTTCCTACCTGGTATAACTCGGAATCACTTGAGATGAGCATTTTTACAAAGTGGAAAGAATGTTCTTTCCATGGATATAAAAATTAATTTGGGGCTCTTAATTACTGCGAAGAAGTAGCCCGGTCTATTTTGTGCAAATCGCAATGCCGCCATGTAAACAACCGCAGATAATCCAATTAGGCTTTTTATTATTGAAGCCATAATTCCAACAAAATCTTATCGCTTTGACCTATACTAGATTGTAAACTGGATTTCTTAAGCTCACCTGGCGAAAAACACCTTTCTAAGATTGGTTCCTTGCCTCAATCTTGTTATAAAGAGACTTGACAACAGTTTCGATAGTACAGCACTACAGGCGGTGTATACCAAATCACAGTGAAAACATCCCACGAAGGTTCCTGCCGGAAACGTCGCATTGCTGGACAGTTATAACCATATTTCAGCTTGGAACACTCACATTTTACAAGTCTTCCTTTCACAATAAGAATGGAAGTTTGTTTTTTTATAGAACGAGCCAGAGCATCCTGACAGATGAAACGAATCATTGACGTTCGTTTTTTGCGATGGTGTCACGCAATAACATGTCACTCGAAAGGAGGCTCGGTTACCAATATACTTATTTTCTTTCCCTCTCGTCCCCTATTTTTTATTTCCGGGAAAAAGTTTTAAATCCAGAATTTAAAATTACCGTTGTTTGCATTTTTTAAGCGCGATACCACTCATGCGTCACCTTAGACTGCTAAATGAATGAGGTATATGTTACTACAGCATAGAGGAAATTTCACTGCATTAATTTTTATCGACGTAAAAAAATGTGTTATCCTATTTTGTAAATTGTCACGGCTTGCAGGGTAGACAGGTGCGGGAGTGGAAAAATTAAATTGGGAGTAGCTTTCTAAAATACTCAGCGCTAAAAAAGTAAATTAGATTAGGCACAGTTTCTAACCATATAATGAGCGTCGCGCCATAAAATTTCCAAAGCAAACTAAAATGGTGTTTTCGTTTGGCCGCCGATTTTTTTAAGAGGTGAGCGTACCAAATGGAAATCAATTGTTCCTTTCAAAGATTAGTTGGGGATGCTGCTCCCAAGATAAGCGAAGTCGAGTTGCAGGAAAAGCTTCTCTTATAGTCCCTCTGCGCTTATGTGAGAAAGACATCTCAGCACACAAACAGGCTGTGGGCGTGAATGATGTTGAATCGGAAGTCGATCTCATTTTAGCACGGGCATCGATATTCACGTTGCCTTCCAATATTTCGCACATGACTATCTGCCCAGTCCATCGCTCCTCTTTGGGCATTGGATGGCGAAGAGGCTCGCAACGGTGCCGTGTTCCATCCGAATTATCGAGGCATGCCAAGGAAGGGAAATCACGAAAGGGTGACCGTGGTATAAACAAAGCGCTTTCGAAGGCAATCCTTCGACGCACGGGAATATTCCTCCCTGTTGGGTCTGGTAGGTCTTTGTAATGTTGTTAATTTACAATAGGACGCTATGACAAACAGGACAAGAAGTTACTGGTAAAAACAAAATTGACACATTTAAATTAGTACTACCACTGAAGCACACATTTAACCAGCCATTTAATTTTGTAGCGTGAGCTAGTTTAATCAAATTATTTTTTATTAATTTTTTTTTTTTTTTTGTTAAATTCTTGTCGCCAAAAACTAATACACCTCTTTCGTTATCTCACCATGCGGCCTGGGACCGAGATATTTATTTTGGTCAGGGGCTCAGGGCCACTCACTACACCGCAAAACCGCTCTTAGGGAAGAGTGATAGATTTAGGGGACGTTGTTGCGTTGTTGCGTTGTTGGTGCGAGGGGACGGGCAAGTGATTTGAAAAGCGAAAGGGAGGGTAGGATTAAAAAACTGTTTTTGTCTCTGTCAATAGACCATTTTACAGTTCTGTGATATTTAACCAGGCCTCTGTATGAAAGCGAGGTTTGTGTTGACCTTGACACGATAGAGATCAAAAACTGGTTAGCATAACAATTAAAGGATTTGCATATCAAAAGTAACAGGGTTTGTACCAAAACAAGGTCAACTTGAGCCTCACGTAGGTAATGTATATAATCACGGAGCACTAGACAATTAACTTCCAGTTCTTTTAGTTAACTGGGAAGTTCGTCATTTGAGAGGTTACGCATGACGTTTGTTTTTCCCGCGAACGTCAAAAATTCAATTTCTGTCGTCTGTCTTTAGGCGTGTGTACACGGAATTAAGTAGGTTTGTGTTTGTCGTGAATGTGTTATTTTATTTTATTTTATTTTATTTTATTTTTTGTGCAGGATTTTTTTAAGAATTCCATAAATAGGTAACAAAATGAAAGGCAAGCTTGCGTTTGCCGTTTGCCGTTAAACGTCATGCTTAAAGTGCCTATTGATAAATAGAATCTTTGCAAGCGCGAAGTCGTGGAAATAGAGTGGATAGCAAAGCATGTATAGTCAGTACCAGGGGGTGACTAAATTGACGAAAACGTCAAAAAGTAGTTTTTCAGAATGGCACTGATTCAAAACACTCAAAAGAGATCTACAGCGTTTTTTAAGTGAATTCGCGCAGGTTTTTGTTTAAAACATAACACTGACTAAGAAATAAATATTAGTTGGCCCTGCACTCGGTACAGCGATGTCTGCAGACGAATGCCTGTCTGGGTGTCCTGTGCACGTTTAGCGTGATTGCGTGACAAACATGAGTGATGACACACGACTTCGTTGGTGAACATCGTTGTGCCATTTGGGGAGCCAAACGTTTCTTAACTGAAACTGTAAGCAATCAAAGCATCTTGGTTTATCGTGCAAAAAAGACTTTTGTATATACTGGAGTTGTATGGAAGCAGAAATAAGTCAAGAGTTGCGATGGTCTGCGATTTGCACGAAATAGATCGGGCTATTTCTTCGCAGTAATTAAGAGCCCCAAATTAATTTTTATATCCTTGAAAAGAACATCGTTTCCAATTTTCAGAAATGCTCATCTCAAGTGATTCCGAGTTACACCGAGTAGGAAAAATTTTTTATTGAAAAACTGCTCCAAAATGAAATTTTTAATCAATCAAATTTTGGCGATTTTCAAATATTCGCCAATAATTCATAGTTATGTCAATAATCCCGTTATTAGATTGAAATCATTTTTTAATACCTCGTATACAAATAGATAATATTCGGAAAGACTTGCTTTCTTTTGCGCTTTTGAAGAATAACGTTTTTGTTGCCCTACTCGTCGGCTTCATTTCGGCCACTGTTATGGCGGTTGGGGCTCGATACAGTGTTTGGTGATTTTCTAGAAAATAAAAACAGTTCTGAACAAAAAAATTATACCACGTTTATAGACTTACCCTAAGGTATCTTTGAGCGAAGTATGAAGGTAGGGCTTTTTCTAGGCATGTGCCACATTTTTTTGATTTCACGCGGTCTCCAGAAAAATTCTCTCTTAAGCCGTCAACCTGTATTTAGCGGTCGCTCCGCCGTTCCCCGTGGGTGACCGCCTAAAACAGGCTCGAATGTGATTTATTGTTTTGCTAGTGCGCATATGCAATAACTATCCACATCTGACGCAATAAAAAAACGGATGTATTCTCAGAAAAGAAAACATCGCTTGTTAGATAGTGTTAGTGCTCGAAGATAATGCAACGTAAGAAAGATGATTTCAAGAATGATAAATATATATATCTTTTAGATTGTAGCAGCAAGTATTTCGCACCGAAGGCCCTTTTTTCATCAAAGTGGTTCTTTTCATTTTTTGGTAGGCCTTCCGACGGCTTAAACTGACTCGAATTGCTTTTAGCTCTTTGAAGTGCCGCAAGCTTTAAAAAGCTTCCGGCATTCGAAGGCCATCGTGACGCACAAAGCTAATTAATTGCTTAAATGTATTGATGAGGTTTTCAATTAACGCGAGCACATGATTCGAAGTCTGTGCGCGTACCAGCTAAGAAAGCTGACCGACATCTAACATATGGCGAGAAGAACGCGTTTGCAGGACTCATCCACAGACCAAGCGAGATTTAACATTCTGAACCCGGAGGGAGCGTTCTCCTCTTTCGACCCTCAACCAGGCTCCCTCCAACAACACTGCCGCACATTCATTCTACAAGCTGTGGGTTTGAAACGACTAGCGCGCATCGTAGATCTTCCAATTCCAAAGACAATGATCAACTATCTAGCCAATCAGCTCACTGTGGACGATTTCTTTGTAAACCGAAATAACTTGAGCTCAGAGAACATGTTGAATTGCGTTTATCCTGCTAAGTGTCTTCTGGACATGTCAGAGGTATTGCTTAAGTGCGTCATGCCTTGTCTAGTAGATGATCATTTTCAGGCCGCTATGGAAGCTTGGAAAGATGTCAACCATCCAAATATCATGCGTAGTTTTCTGCGCTTTCATCAAGGTGGTACGGAAATAATTGTATTCGAATACCCTCCAGTTTCACTGGAGGATATTATCAGGGAGCGGCGAGAACTACGGAGGCATTTGCCCGAGTACTTGATATGGAAAGCGTTTTGCGAATTGTGCTCCGCTATGAAGTATCTGAATGAGAAAGGCATTTTCTACAAGACTGCTAAAGCGACGAAGCGCATTTCCTTCGACGAACATGGAAACCTCAAATTAGACAGTGGTTTGCTGTACCAATCATCCCCGGAGGATACGATGAATGACCCTGATGTCAGGGTTGATGGAGCGGGGTTCTATTCACCCCCGGAGGTCATGAAAGGACACGCCTTTGGCCCCGAAAGCCAGGTGTGGCTTCTTGGATGTTTACTGTACGAGATCACAGCACTTGAACCCGCCTATCAAGTTGAAGGGAATGACATGTTTACTGCTCTGGCAAACATTATGGAGGGCAGACCGCCTCCAGATATCAATGAAAATTTCTCTGACGAGCTTAAAGCCACGATTCGTGATTGCGTCAAAGGTGACCCCGATCAGCGACCGAGCATGGAGGAGCTTATGAACAGTGTTACCATGGTAAAAGAAAGAATGAAGCATGAATATCAAGGACCTGAAATTGTCGACCTATAATGCCGCACCAGAGAACTTCTGCCACGTTTATGGGATAGGAGAATGTAACAGCTCTTTATTTGGTCAGGGGCACATTCACAAAGTGACCGAAAGCTTCGACAAAACTACAGGATCCGAAGTAACATAGCATACTCTGGCATCGAATCAACATTACTAACAGTATTTAACATTTGGTTAAAGTTATGATACACTTCGGCTATCTTGAGTCAACTTACAATCTTATTGTGCACTTTATAGGGAGCTAAGGAAACAACGTTTTCCGGATCCTTTTTGTTACGTCCAAGTAACTATTTTGTACAAATCACTTCAAAATTACGACAATGTACAAGTTTAATATACGGTGGAAAGCTGATCAAAACAAGATGTTCTGTTCAAATATGTAGAATAAAAGGAAACATCGACGGAAACGAGAAATTAATTCTCTTTTAAAGATGTTGTTCACTGTTCATGTTCTTGTAACAACTTAAAATTAATACGGTAGATGAACTCGGGTTTGTATGCAGCCAACTAATCGAACAGTTGGTTGTAATCAGGCACCTGTAATCGGACGGCTGAAGCGGCCAATCAAGTCCACTCAGCTAAATCCACCAATCACAAAATTGATCACAATAACCATAGCAACAACCACTTATCCTGGAAAAAAAATGTAAACTGGGGAATTCCCAAAACGGAGGAATTTCTTACTTTAGACATTGTCTTTACAAGAGATGTTTGTCCTAAATGTATTTTTTTTCCGGAAATTGTAACGGTTATTAATTTGTAACAGGAATGGATGCCGCCAATCCTGTCAATAATCGTACTCGTGATAGACAAATCGACGATTTTGATAATCACTCGTATGATTACAGTCCGAATTGGACTCCACTTGGTCCTATTACCATTATTAATTGTAAACGGAAGAAAAATACCAGAACCGTTGAGGTAGTTACTTTTCCTTTCCCATAGATCAGTACTTGCCTCAGTAAAAAAAAAAACAAACAAAAAACAAAAAACAAAAAACAAAAAACAAAAAACAAAAAACAAAAAAAAAACAGAGAGGGTAAAGACCTGGGTAAGACTTGCTCAGAACGACTGGCACGAAAAGAAATAGCTTACGAGCATGTCCTCATTGGTGTTCCAGAACGCGCGTTTCTCCACACGCGGGAGGATTTGAGACGAGTCGAGATGTGAGTGGAGTCTGGGACTAATAATGGAACCCCCTGCAGACCTCTCATCGCTTCGCGTAGCTCAAGGTCTCATAATTCCTCGCGGGCGGAGGAAAGCTCGTTCCAAAGTACTGACAATAAGCGTCTGCTCGTAGGCTTAAAAAAATAATAATAAATAGGCTCGATCATTCGGTATCATGAATCCGCAAGACTTTGACGAGATTCAATTAAGTTTATTTCCTACTTTGCATCCTTCAACTACAACTAATTGATGGTGTCAAGAGAACTTGTGTTCGGATACACCACGCTGATACAACAGAGAACAAATCATCTAAAGCGAACCCATTAGCTGTACTCTTCACTTGTTTCGGCTTCGTCCTTTTAAAGTCCAAGACAGATTTAACTGTGATGGGTGGATTGACCTTCCTGTACAACCCAGCGTCCGATACCACCACCTCCACCTGGAAAATCAATTGATTAAACATTAACTTTTTTCCAAAAAGTTCTGTCTGACGAGCGCTTAGGCGCGAAACTCAGAGTCACAGAGAATCGATGCGTTCTCTTTAATTCTTTAACTTATGTATACTTAGCTCTGCTACCACAACATTGAGCACTCATCAGGGGATATATATATATATATATTTTTTTTTTTATGCTGTCAAAATATTTTTCACTTATTTTAGATCCACCTCCGCTCATTTCGAAGTTATCTAAAATTGTTTTCTAGATTGTCTTTTATCTCACTCTGTTCCTGAATACGTTCTAAGCAGTACTGGCCGACTCTAAATACTATTCAAAAACTTGAAATTCCTGTTAAAAAAAACATTTTTTTTCATCTTAAAGAGCCTGATCTCTGGTTCTCTGGAAAGCTCTCATCTTTCCGATCCCGCGGGTTGTGATACCTCATCCCGTACCGTACCCTAAGCTCTTATCCCGTACGTTTTTAGATCTTTGAACCCTAAACCCATCTGCCATAAGATAAGGTTTTTTACCAGAGCGTATAATATGATCAAAAGCTTGGGTGGACTGATATTTTACTGAGCTTCACTAAGCAGTTCTCACGGCATGGTTTTCAACGGACTTTGTTTGCTTACCACCGCCAGTTCCAAAGGCACATTTTACAGGATCCCCTCCGGAAACGGAAATTTTACTCTTCGGATCTCCGATGAGTTTCTTGGTAAAGATGACAACACTGCCCCCAGCGCCACTTCCCCCTGGGGCTGATCTGTGACGTTTCCGGTTGAGACATTGTCCAGAGTTTCCTAGTAAAGTGATATTAAAGTATTAGCTCCATAAAACAGCCAGGACGCAGATTTACAATGTGGAACAATTTATCATTTTTAGTTACGTCCTGCGCTACTTTCCTTTACATTAAACAGGCATTTGCAACTCAGAGGGTGCAGTTTTTGACCAATAGACTCCATTATCTTGTTTGTTACTCATTTAGGTCTGAAAAGAGAATCGCTTTTTACCATTTAGGTCTGGAATAAGGTATGGTTTGAACATTATCGAAAAACTTGGTCTTTCAACAACTTTTCTCTGAGAAGAAGGATTCTAAGTTTACCCATTAAATTCCCAAGATCTGGTTATTAATTCTTCCCTCTATCTACGACAAATTTCTATGTAAGAAAATTGTAAGAATTTAGTGTTAAATAAAACAGCATTCTCTGTTTCCTGGATAATGTATGTGTAGTACATGGATCGAGAAGTTACTTGTTAGTACCTTTCACACTGATGGTCCCTTGTAGTACAAGTTTCCCAACCTGTAAATACACCAGTCCTCCTCCACTTCCGCCTTTCCCTCCAGGGTTGGGGTCATCTCTGAACGCACTTGCTCCTCCCCCTCCACCTCCCCCTCCGTAACTCAGGTGAGTCTTGAAGTTGGTATTGCCAAATTGGAGTCCGCCTGAATATAAACAAAAAAATAGTGGCCCCTGTGGACCCTGAAGGTGTCATTGCATATGTGTTATCTAATTATTTCTTTACCTATACAGAGAACGAATCCCTCCAGAACACCTAGGTTTGCGGTAGGTAAGAGATTCAGTCATAGAAGTTTCCTCGCTTGAAAACGTTAAAATTTGTCTTAAAACATCGTCATTTAAGTTCATGAAAGACGTTGACGTAAATAGTCCACTTTGGCAATTAGCCTAACAATTTGGAAGAGAAATAGTACCAGAAATCATATAGGTTTTGTCTTCCCCGCTAGACTACAAGATTGGCTGCATTTTGAGAATCTAAACCTTTCAAAGATTGTCTTTAAATGTGCTGAAAATCTGGCCAAGAGTTATGAAAGTTGTAAGTTATCTGGAGCAAACCTTTATTTCAAGATAATCCGAAATTAAAATGGTCTCCTTTACCGCGCTCTATAATTGTTCAACAAAACTCGTGCCATTCTCTCAGCCAATCAGATTTAAAACTAAAACCAATTGCAATTTGATCATGGGTGTTGTTGTTGTTACGATTGAATGCTGTTATTGCTTTTGCTTTTGTTTTACAACGCTCAATCGTAATGTTCCCTATGGATGCTTGAGCCCAAACCCTTAGTCACATCAGACCTAAAATTCAACATCAAACCAAAAGATCTGACTGAAGTATCTTAGCTTCAATCACTTTGAGGAAAAACACAAAAAGAATTGTCTACTTACCTCCTCCACCACCTCCACCGTAATGATTGCCACAAGAATCACCTTAAAATCGAATCAAAGATACCAATATTATCCATTACCTTGATTACAGTTTAGCGATTTAAGCTAAAAATGGCATCAATTTTCATAAGAACCTCCGTTATTATCTCTTAAAAGGCTTTCCAGTGTGATGGACTACACAACTTAATAATTACCTCCTCCACCTCCAGAGCTAGATGAGCCCGCGTTACCACCTGATGCTGACTTGTCGTAACAGTGGGGAGCTTGTTTAGGAGGCCATTTCCCTGCACTCCCTCCATTGCCACCATGTCCTCCTGGGCAAGACGACTGACCCCCACCCCCAGCGTGAGTACCGATCTACAAGAAAATGGTGGAAGAAAGCCTTTGAAAAACTCTTGTTTACAATGGATAGACAACTCAGGTTTAATTTTCTTGTCCGTAAAAATTTGACGCACCTGTAGCTAGATGGAAGTTGAAATAACAAAACACATATTTGCGTCTTCTCAGACGGTCGCAACGGTAACCTAAGCTCTGTCTTCACACGGTTTTCACTCCTATTCATACGAAAATTGATGACTTACGTTTCCAGCTGATCCTCCCTTTCCTCCATCTTTACCACCACACCCACTGCCTCCTCCCCCTCCTCCGCCACCGGAGAAATGTCCACCCCCTCCCCCACCGGCTGCACCATCGTCTCTGTTGACAGTTGAGTCTCCTCCTCCGCCGCCGGCATTAGTTCCTCCCGGACCTCCTTTAGAACCTGCCGGAAAGTTTTTGTTACAAGGTTAAGAAATACTCTTCCGCTCATCATGTGAACTTAGTAAAATGACCTTTTTTCGCCAACAAATTCTTGTTAATTTTGTGGGCTGAGTTTCCTGACCCGAAAACGGAAAGTCTAGTGTTATGGTACCATCAGAAACTTAAAAGTTTCCTTTTCCATCCAATTACTACAAAAGTTTTAAGAAAAAAACTCACATTCATTGTTGTATATTGAACAGAACGTTTTCTATGCAAATTTCCAAACCTGATTTCGCGACTCTATCCGAGTTTATTTGTCATGAGTTGTCCTTTCACTGGACACTTGTCTGTTTTAATTTGGTTGTTTGGGCGCCCAGTGATTCAATCGACCTTCCTGCTGTTTCCTTACTATTGACTTAAATTAAGACTATACCACAGATCATTTCACGTAGTTTAAGATTTATTTTCAATCATTTGCGCCTTCCAGCGCGTAAAACAGTTAAGGTAATTTCTTTTGAATTCCAACTGGTTTCTAGTGGCATTATCTGCGCTCTGATTAACCCTTGTAATACCTTACGCATGCATACTAACCTACTCTTGTCTTTGGCCCGTCCCCAGCCCCTCCACCACCAATTCCGTCCGTGTTCTTTGCCCAGGGTACGTAAGAAATATCTCCTCCTTTTCCTAATAACGCGTTTGCCGGACAGTCGAACGTTTCGCCTCCGTACCCTCCACCCCCACGGGAATCACCTCCAAGGCCGCCTGTAAATCCTGAAAATCAACAATACCGCTAAGAAGTACTCTATATCAACACTTTGTTCGCAAGTGAGTGCGCCACCCTGCCGCTCCTCCTCCCATTCGATCCTGTTCCCTCACGGCCTGAATACGACATGTAGAGGATATGATAATGGCACATCAAGGGAACAAGCTGTCTAGATACAGGTGGAGCCAAAGGATTCCAAGGATTGTTAGAGCCAGGATCAGAGTAGTAATTATAATAATTTTACCAGGAAAAAAATGTTTTAGCTCGGACGTAGTCTTCAAAACAGCTATTAGTTTTGCGCAAACACCATAAAATTTGTGGCTCTTTAAGTAAATTGAAGGTGGTCAGATTCAGACAACCTTCGCATGCCCTCATTTTGTCAGAGCTTTCGTTATTTTTTTGGACTACTCTACAATCATACTCTCGATGAATTTAAACTCAACTGTAGACCACCAACAGTATACCGCACTCGCCGTTCAAGATCAAACTGAAAATCAATCTTTTGTTGTGAAAATTCGAGAAATAATATTCTACTCTGTTATGTTTCAGAAGAAAAATCGCGAATAACTCATTCCCAAATCAGAGCCAATATAATTCCTGTTTCAACCTGAGACATAAACAGAGGTGTGAGAAGTTCTAAAAATCTTCGTACCTTTTCCAGTCATATCTATTTTGGAAGTACTATCGATCACCAGGTTGTCAGCCTCAAAGGCCAGAATTCCTCCAAGGCCATCTTTCTGTTCATCACATGTCAGGACACATTTGTTACGTAAAGATACTTTGTCAAATGAGGGAAGCCTTTGAGCGATCAAACATGTTAGGTGGTCCTTTTCAAGATTCATCGTAATGGGTTTGTCAAAAACAACTCGGCATTGTGATCTGTAATCATACAAATAGAAAGCACTGATTGATGGATTGATATAGAAAATTACTAGTTAACTAAAGAACTAGAGAATGGATGGGTTGGCGAATGAATGAAAACATTACTTCAAGGATATCTCTATAGCTGCAACCGTTTGGTCAGTTAGTAAGTTATTCTGTCATTTAGTCATTCAGTCACTTAGTCGGTGAGTCAGTCCGCCGGCTAAACATTCTGTCATCCAATGGTTGCTCAGTTTGTCCATATTACTCTATCAGAAGCCAGAATCCATTCGGAAAATATATTAGACACTTAGAACGTTTAAGTGTAAATTATTTACAATCAAAATTCACTATAATCATGTTGAAAATGTTTGCTATATATATAGATATGTAGTTCTCAAAAAAGAGTTGGGCCACAAGTTTCCTATAATTTTCACTCTTACTTTTCGTCTCCAGCTATCGGTGTGACGTCTTGTGCTGTGACCACTTCATATTTGCCATAATTGATCAGTCTTCCTTTGCTAACAAATAGTAAGAGTTTGTCTCCAGCCTCCAGGCCGTCACATGAATACAAATCCATGGTTTCTTCAGTGATAACGGCAACTTTCCACGACTTCGAATGATCAGTCTGACACAAGTTGACCGTTTGTCCATCGCACACAAAGCCATTTGCTATGTTGTAAACATAAAAATTACTCAGGGAAAACTTCATCCCGCCATAAGATACGAGAAGTAGAATTTACCCAGGTAGGCGGTGTAACTTATCAGAGATCTAGTCCTATGTCAATTGCAAGATAGATTCCAAAATATGTCCCACACCTTTCCGTAGACCCACCTATTGTCTTCTCATAAAATATCATACCACAACTCCCTACTATTGCCACCCAATTCCCGCGGGAAAAAACAGCTTTGTGTATTTTTCACATCTCTCAGTTTGCTTGCCTAAGTAGTCGTGCTAACTTAACCCAGTCCCTCTCCGTTGTGACCAAAGTCGAGTAAACAGTGAAAATAACTTACTCTCAACATCAGTGCACTCTGAACATCCTAAGACTCCCTACAGACAAAGAAATAGGTGTTTTCTCGTTTATTTTGTGAAAAATTGTGCACAATATGTGTATGTGTACTTTTAAATATACAACTATCCTGCGAGCAGTAACCGGCATTTCTTAGCGGGAAATCACGAGGAGACCCTGAACTACACACACCGACAAGAACACCGGCAAACTTCTCTCCGACCTGTTTCAAATCTTTCCGTGGGCGGAGAAACGTGCATCATTCAGCGCTGATCGATAATTAGGGGCCGATCGAGAGCTAACATACAACAGTTACAAACTACCAGTGAGCATGTGCTACACCGTCAACTGCACTTGTGTACGTAACAAGATTTTCCTTTCCGTTTGGTCAATAACTATGTTCGTGTTTAGTACTATTTTCTGCGTTGCACCTTTTCGAAGGTGAGGGAAATTCAAGCCGTTGATTTCTTTTCTTCCTGTTTATTCTTCAAACCCTGGAGGGGATCAATACTTAAATTCTTTTCACGGTTTTATAAGTATCCGAGAAGGCGGCTGCGCTCCCGTTGGTCGACTAGTGTGATTAGATGAAAGCACGTAGACACGGCTGTTATGTAATAAATTACTGTGTAAGCACATGTTTTAGTTTTCTTGAGTCACCTTTTTCCTAATTGATCTACTTAAAACTGCCATACCAACATAAAGAAATACTGACCGAATGGATGAAACATGCCAACCATAAAAACAACAGCAGCAGCAAATGAAGTTTATGGATCATCTCCCCGTCGGCAGAAGAGCAGACTACAATACAACTGGCTTCTATTTGCTTTCAGCCCTACGCGATGAAAAAAGGAAAAGTGCAACAGTCTAAGAAATGAGTCAATAGAATGCAGTGCATGGGGTGATTCTCAGGTCAAAATATCCGAAAACATGCAGTTTCTTTTAAGGAGACAGGGCCTTTTAAAAAGGTATCTGGGACTAGAGAAGCGTAACAGCCAGAGGTGATGTCGTGAGAACGTTATTGAACGAGCAGTAGGGGTCATTAGATATCTCAATTGACATTTACCTGAATAGATTATGTATGAACTCAAGGGTTCACTCTATTGTTATAAATCTAATTCGTCTTTGTTGACGAGTACAAACCATAATGCTTGTGCCAAATAGCAAATCGTTAACCCTCCGTCTGTTACTAATAAATCAGAAACCATTGGAAAAAATACGCAAAACACTCCTCGGCTCGGCTACTTATCGTAAAAGTGTGCTAATGATGAGTGTCTCGCTTGAAAGGAAGCATGAACAAACTGTTGATTAAAAAATTATAGACCTCATTCGCAACACTAAACATACAATAATATTCATAAGTGGGTCTTAGGAATTATTCTAGCCACTGAGAACGATGACATAATCGATCTTTAAACATTGCTTTCGACTTGAATTTATAAATAGTGACTGAAGGGGAGCGCTAAGAAATAAACTTAGAGCTGTGCAAGGTTTCGTCAATCTTGAATTAAATTTTCCGTGTTCGGGGGCTGGATCGATTTAAAAAAGTTAATTACCTGGTTGAAAGTAAACTATATACATACCAACAAAAAAACGCATCTGAGTAAAAAAAATCAGATACATACTTTAGCCTGACTATGATAGACACTTGTACCTATACGATTTCTTGCAAGAGAGATGTGTCACCTACCTAGTAACGAAGAAATATTATTCTTGACTCTGAGGTTAAACAGATTCGTCTCAGCGCATATGCAGAATCCTGCAAGTAATGCAAAATAATAATTAAAAAAAAAAACAGGACGTGTCAAGTTATATAGTGTTGGTTCTGTGATTCTATTGGCTAAAAGCTTGTGACCGATGGCGAAATTTTGCCATACTCTGTGATCTTATTGGTTGGGACTGTTTAGATTGACATAAGGCTTAGAGCTGGGTGCGTCAAACCGTTGCCCATTGAAGTCAAATTAAGATTTCCCGAATATTCTCTGTTTAACTTGATAAGTTCCACTAACTGAAAGAGCCTAAGGAATGAAAGCACCCACGTAGAACGGAAAAGTGTCATGGGTGATTGATACGTTGACCCCTCCACTTAGAACAATGGCTTTCGTAATCAAAACTGAACAAATGATAATTACAACTGAAGTATTTCGTCAACACTTTAGGAGTAAACTCCCCTAACTGTGAGGCTTCATCGAAGCCCTGTTGCAGCATATCCTACGCCGTCAATCTAGCTGTTAGACAGAACGTTAGCTCGCTTACTGTTAATATTTCCACGAGAAAATATGAAGAGGTGGAAAGTATTAAACTGGACTGTGGAAGATGGAGCTTACGAAAAGTTATTTTTTGGGGAGAGCGGTTATTGAACAGAGTGATATGGTTTTTTTTATCCTATGGCTTTTCCACGTGGAAACTTATCAAATGCTTTGTATTTTGATTTTCTCTGATTTTTCCTATAAAAAATGCTGTGACCTATTTTTTACGTTTGGTTTCCTCTGAAAAGTTTTTGTAACCTTCTTTTATATAGGCTTGATGAACAATTGGTTGAAGCTGTTTTTAAAGGGACTGCAGTGCATTGGGTGATTCTCAGGTCAAAATATCCGAAAACAGTTTCTTTTAAAGAGACAGGGCCTTTAAAAAGGTATCTGGGACTTGAGAAGCGTAACAGCCAGAGGCGATGTCGTGAGAACGTTCTTGAACACGCAGTAGGGGTTATTTGGTATTTCAATTGACATTTACCTGAATAGATTATCTATGAACTCAAGGGTTCACTCTATTGTTATAAATCTACTCCGTCTTTGTTGATGAGTACAAACCATGATGCTTGTGCCAAATAGCAAATTGTTAACCCTCCGTCTGTTACTAATAAATCAGAAACCATTGGAAAAAATACGCAAAACACTTCTCGGTTCGGCTACTTATCACAAAAGTGTGCTAATGATGAGTGTCTCGCTTAAAAGGAAACATTAAAAAACTGTTGATAAAAAAATCGTAGACCTCATTCGCAACATTAAACATGCAATAATAGTCATAAGTGGGTCTTAGGAATTATTCTAGCCAGTGAGAACGATGACATAACCGATCCTTAAACATTGCTTTCAACTTGAATTTTTAAATTGTGACTGCAGGGGAGCGCTAAGAAATAAACTTAGGGCTGTGCAAAGTTTCCTCAATCTTGAAATAAATTTTCTGTGTTCGGGGGCTACATCGATTTAAAAAAGTTAATTACTTGGTGTAAAGTATGCTATATACATACCAGCAAAAAATCGCGTCTGAGTAAAAAATCAGATACCTACTTTAGCCTGACTATGATAGACAGTTGTACCCACACAATTTCTTGCAAGAGAGATGTGTCGCCTACCTAGTAACGAAGAAATATTATTCCTGACTCTGAGGTTAAACAAATTCGTCTCAGCGCATATGCAGAATCCTGCAAGTAATGCAAAATAATAATAAAAAAAAAAACAGGACGTGTCAAGTTATGTAGTGTTAGTTCTGTGATTCTATTGGCTAAAAGCTTGTGACCGATGGCGAAATGTTGCCATACTCTGCGATCTTATTGGTTGGGACTGTTTAGATTGACATAAGGCTTAGAGCTGGGTGCGTCAAACAGTTGCCCATTGAAGTCAAATTAAGATTTCCCGAATATTCTCTGTTTAACTTGATAAGCTCCACTAACCGAAAAGGGCCTAAAGAATGAAAGCACCCACGTAAAAAGGAAAAGTGTTTTGGGTGATTGATGCGTTGACCCCTCTACTTAGAAGTTAGAAGAATGGCTTTCGTAGTGAAAACTGAACAAACAATAATTACAAATGAAGTATTTCGTCAACACTTCAGTAGTAAACTCCCCTAACTGTGGGGCTTCATCGAAGCCCTGTTGCAGCATATCCTTCGCCGTCAATCTAGCTGTTAGACAGAACGTGAGCTCGCTAACTGTTAATATTTCCACGGGTAGAAAGGAAGAGATGGAAAGTGTTAACTGGATTATGCAAGATGGAGCTTACGGAAAGTTATTTTTTGGGGAGAGCGGTTATTGAACATAGTGATATGGGTTTTTTTTTATCCTATGGCTTTTTTACGTGGCAACTTATCAACTGCTTTGTATTTTGATTTTCTCCAATTTTGCTTACAAAAAATGCTGACCTATTTTTCACGTTTGGTTTCCTCTGAAAGGTTTTTGTAACCTTCTTTTATATAGGCTTGATGAACAATTGGTTGAATTGTTTTTAAAAGGACTGCAGTGCGTTGGGTGATTCTCAGGTCAAAATATCCGAAAACAGTTTCTTTTAAAGAGACAGGGCCTTTAAAAAGGTATCTGGGACTTGAGAAGCGTATCAGCCAGAGGCGATGTCGTGAGAACGTTCTTTAACACGCTGTAGGGGTTATTAGGTATTTTAATTGACAGTTACCTGAATAGATCATGTATGAACTCAAGGGTTCACTCTATTGTTATAAATCTACTCCGTCTTTGTTGATGATTACTAACCACAATGCTTGTGCCAAATAGCAAATCGTTAACCCTCCGTCTGTTTCTTATAAATCAGAAACCATTGGAAAAAATACGCAAAACACTTCTCGGCTCAGCTACTTATCGTAAAAATCTGCTAATGATGAGTGTCTCGCTTGAAAGGAAACATTAGAAAACTGTTGATTAAAAAATTTTAGACCTCATTCGCAACATTAAACATACAATAAGATTTATAAGTAGGTCTTAGGAATCATTCTAGCCACTGAGAACGATGACATAACCGATCCTTAAACGTTGCTTTGGACTTGAATTTTTAAATAGTGACTGCAGGGGAGCGCTAAGAAATAAATTTAGAGCTGTGCAAAGTTTCGTCAATCTTGAAATAATTTTTTCGTGTTCGGGGGTTACATCGATTTAAAAAAGTTAATTACTTGGTGTAAAGTAAGCTATATACATACCAGCAAAAAATCGCGTCGGAGTAAAACATCAGATACCTACTTTAGCCTTGCTATGATAGACAGTTGTACCCACATGATTTCTTGCAAGAGAGATGTGTCACTTACCTAGTAAAGAAGAAATATTATTCCTGACTCTCAGCTTAAATAGATTCGTCTCAGCGCATATGCAGAATCCTGCAAGTAATGCAAAATGATAATTATAAAAAAATTAGGACGTGTCAAGTTATGTAGTGTTGGTTCTGTGATTCGATTGGCTAAAAGCTTGTGACCGATGGCGAAATTTTGCCATACTCTGCGATCTTATTGGTTGGGACTGTTTAGATTGACATAAAGCTTAGAGCTGGGTACGTCAAACAGTTGCTAACTCAAGTCAAATTGAGATTTCCCGAATATTCTCTGTTTTACTTGATAAGCTCTACTAACCAAAAACGGCCTGAGGAATGAAAGCACCCACTTAAAACGGAAAAGTGTCATGGGTGATTGATACGTTGACCCCTCCACTTAGAAGAATGGCTTTCGTAATCGAAACTGAACAAATAATGATTACAACTGAAGCATTTCGTCAACACTTCAGAAGTAAACTCCCCTAACTGTGGGGCTTCATCGAAGCCCTGTTGCAGCATATCCTACGCCAATTTAGCTGTTAGACAGAACGTTAGCTCGCTAACTGTTAATATTTCCACGGGAAGATATGAAGAGGTGGAAAGTGTTAAACTGGACTGTGGAAGATGGAGCTTACGGAAAGTTACTTTTGGGGAGAGCAGTTAGTGAACAGTGTGATATAGTTTTTTTTTATCCTATGGATTTTTCACGTGGTAACTTTTCAACTGCTTTGTATTTTGATTTTCTCCAACTTTGCTTATAAAATATGCTGTGACCTATTTTTTACGTTTGGTTTCCTCTGAAAGGTTTTTGTAACCTTCTTTTACATAGGCTTGATGAACAAATGGTTGAAGTTGTTTTTAAAAGGACTGCAGTGCATTGGGTGATTCTCAGGTCAAAATATCCGAAAACAGTTTCTTTTAAAGAGACAGGGCCTTTTAAAAAAGTATCTGGGACTTGAGAAGCGTAACAGCCAGAGGCGATGTCGTGAGAACGTTCTTGAACACGCAGTAGGAGTCATTAGGTATCTCAATTGACATTTACCTGAATAGATTATGTATGAACTCAAGGGTTCACTCTATTGTTATAAATCTATTTTGCCTTTGTTGACGAGTAAAAACCATAATGCTTGTGCCAAATAGCAAATCGTAACCCTCTGTCTGTTACTTATAAATCAGAAAACATTGGAAAAAATACTCAAAACACTTCTCGGCTAGGCTACTTATCCGGTAAAAGTGTGCTAATGAGGAGTGTCTCGCTTGAAAGGAAACATGAACAAACTGTTGATTAAAAAATTGTAGACCTCATTCGCAACATTAAGCATACAATGAGATTCATAAGTGGGTCTTAGCAATTATTCTGGCCACTAAGAACGATGATATAATCGATCCTTGAACATTGCTTTCGACTTGAATTTTTAAATAGTGACTGAATGGGAGCGCTAAGAAATAAACTTAGAGCTGTGCAAGGTTTCCTCAATCTTGAAATAATTTTTTCGTGTTCCGGGGCTACATCGATTTAAAAAAGTTAATTACTTGGTGTAAAGTACACTATATACATACCGGGAAAAAATCGCGTCTGAGTAAAACATCAGATATCTACTTTAGCCTCACTATGATAGACACTTGTACCCACATGATTTCTTGCAAGAGAGATGTGTCACCTACCTAGTAATGAAGAAATATTATTCCTGACTCTCAGATTAAACAGATTCGTCTCAGCGCATATGCAGAACCCTGCAAGTAATGCAAAATAATAATCAAAAAAAATAGGACGTGTTAAGTTATGTAGTATTGGTTCTGCGATTCGATTGGCTAAAAGCTTGTGACTGATGGCGAAATTTTGCCATACTCTACGATCTTATTGTTTGGAACTGTTTAGATTGACATAAGGCGTAGAACTGGGTACGTCAAACAGTTGCCAATTCAAGTCAAATTAAGATTTCCCGAATATTCTCTGTTTAACTTGATAAGCTCCACTAACCGAAAATGGCCTTAGGAATGAAAGCACCCACGTAAAACGGAAAAGTGTCATGGGTATTTGATGCGTTGACCCCTCTACTTAGAAGAATGGCTTTCGTAGTGAAAACTGAACAAACGGTAATTACAACTAAAGCATTTCTTCAACACTTCAGGAGTAAACTCCCCTAATTGCGGGGCTTCATCGAAGCCCTGTTACAGCATATCCTACGCCGTCAATCTAGCGGTTAGACAGAACGTTAGCCGGCTAACTGTTAATATTTCCACGGGAAGATATGAAGAGTTGGAAAGTATTAAACTGGATTGTGGAAGATGGAGCTTACGGAAAGTTACTTTTTGGGGAGAGCAGTTAGTGAACAGAGTGATATGGTTTTTTTTTATCCTATGGATTTTCTACGTGGCAACTTATCAACTGCTTGGTATTTTGATTTTCTCCAATTTTGCTTATAAAAAATGCTGGGACCTATTTTTCGCCTTTGGTTTCCTCTGAAATTTTTTTGTAACCTTCTTTTACATAGGGTTGATGAACAATTGGTTGAATTTGTCTATTCATCTCTATCGGAGATATTTGTCGTAAATGCATTTTTTTTTCGGAAATTGTAACGGTTAAGATTAATTTGTAACAGGAATTGGTCGTCCAATTCTGTCAGTAATCGTACTCGTGATAGACAAATCGACGATTTTGATAATCACTCGTATGATTACAGACCAAATCGGACTCCACTTGGTCCTATTACCATTATTAATCTTAAACGGAAGAAAGTTCAGAGCCGTTGAGGTGGTTGCTTTTCCTTTCCCGTTGATCAGTACTTGCCTCGGTAAAAAAAAAAAAAAAAAAAAAAAAACAGAGAGGGTAAAGACCTGGATAAGACTTGCTAGAATGACTGCCACGAAAAGAAATAGCTTACGAGCATGTCCTCATTATCAGTGCTCGAGAACGCGCGTTTCTCCACACGCGGGAAGATTTGAGACGAGTCTAGGAGAGGTGAGAGAGTCTGGGACTAATAATGGGACCCCCTGCAGACCTCTCATCGCTCCGCGTAGCCCAAAGCCCCATAATTCTTCGCGGGCAAAGGAAAGCTCGTACCAAAGTACTGATAATGAGCGTCTGTTCGTAGGCCTAAAAAAAAAATAATAATAAATAGGCTCGATCGTTCGGTATCATAAATCCTCAAGACTTTGACTAGATTCAACTAATTTTATTTGTTACTTCAACTACAGCTAATTTAATTCCGATACACTACGCTTATACAGCAGAGAACAAATCATCTAAAGCAAGGAACTTCTTAGCGGTACTCTTCACTTGTTTCGGCTTAGTCTTTTTAAGGTCCATGACGGATTTAGCCGTGATGGGTGGATTGACCTTCCTGTACAACCCAGCGTCCGGTACCACCACCACCACCTGGAAAATCAATTGATTAGATATTAATAATTCTATCTTCCACATCATCGAGAGAGAACCACATCAATCGCCGCATAATGATACTTGTGAATGACCCCTAAAGTAAAGTATCTTTTTCTTACTGACAGTATCGTTGCTGAATCAAAGGTCAAAAGGAATTATCACCATCTAGAGAAGCTTTTGATGGGTGAAAAAATTCTCCTTTTCAGCGCTCTTAGACACTGTTTAGCGTACTGTATGGAGAATATGGAGACCCATGTTAGGGTACGAAGGGCTTATGATCGCGAGGAAAAGTGAAGTTAGTTAAAATAAATCCTAAAAATCACTTATTTTAGATCCACCTCCGCTCATTTCGAAGTTATCCAAAATTGTTTTCTAGATTGTCTTTTACTTCTTTCTGTTCCTGAATGCGTACTTAGCAGTACTGGCCGGTTCTTAATACTGTTCTAAAACGTTAAAATACATTTTATAATGTTGCTTTCATCTTAAAGAGCCTGATCTCTGGTTCTCTGGAAAGCTCTTATCTTTCCGATCCCGCGGGTTGCGATAACTCATCCCGTACCGTACCCTAAACTCTCATCCCGTACAATTTTAGATCTTTGAACCCTAAACCCATCTGCCATAAGTCAAGGTTTTTTACCAGAGCATCTACTATGACCAAAAGCTTGGGTGGACCGATATTTACTGAGCTTCACAGAGCAGTTCTCACGGCATGGTTTGCAAAGGACTTTGTTTGCTTACCACCACCAGTTCCAAAAGCACATTTTACAGGATCCCCTCCGGAAACGGAAATTTTACTCTTCGGATCTCCGATGAGTTTCTTGGTAAAGATGACAACACTGCCCCCAGCGCCACTTCCCCCAGGGGCTGATCTGTGACCTTTCCGATTGAGACATTGTCCAGAGTTTCCTGCGTAAAAAGTAAAGTATTAGCTCCATAAAACAGCCAGGCCACAGATTTACAACGTGGAACAATTTCTCATTTTTAGTTCTGACCTCCACTGCTTCCTTTTACATTCTACGGGCGTTTGCGGCTCAGAGGGTGTAGTTTTTGACCAATAGACTCTATTATCTTGTTTGTTACTCATTTAGGTCTGAAAAGGGGATCGCTTTTTATTATTTAGGTCTGGAATAAGGTATGGTTTGAACATTATCGAAAAACTTGGTCTTTCAACAACATTTCTCTGAGAAGAAGGATTCCAAGTTTACCCGTTAAATTCCCAAGATCTGGTTATTAATTCTTCCCTCTATCTACTACAAATTTCTATGTAAGAAAGTTGTGAGAGTTTATTGTTAAATAAAACAGTATTCTCATTACCTGTCTACTGGGTAATGTATGGATAGTGCATGGAGAAGTTACTTGTTAATCACTTCTGGGAGCTAACGGGTTGAGACTTTGGGAGGGAGGGGTGGGTTTTATGCTTTTCTGGTTCATACCTTTTACACTGATGGTCCCTTGTAGTACCAGTTTCCCAACCTGTAAATACACCAGTCCTCCTCCACTTCCTCCTTTCCCTCCAGGGTTGGGGTCATCACTGAACGCACTTGCTCCTCCCCCTCCACCTCCCCCTCCGTAGCTCAGGTGAGTCGTGAAGTTGGTATGGCCAAACTGGAGTCCGCCTAAATATAAACAAAATAATAGAGGCCCCCGTGGATCCTGAAGGTGTCATTAATGCTCCCA